TTAGTTTCATTACTATAGTTACGAGAATTGCAACCAGTTACAACCTTATTGAATTCCTACTTGAAGTTTAGTTTAAACCATCTCGAGAGATCTCTAGACACTTCCACGTGACCCTAGAGGCAGCTCCCGTAACAGGATAATTGTATTGGAATGTGTGAATATAGATAGAGGCTTTTTGCCCTCTATGATCATTTTCAAGGCTCAGAATACTAATACTATATAGATTCTAACTAACATTTCTCCAAACTAGTATTTCTCAACAAATAATAGTGGGTGGACTTCTAATAGTTATGGCTTTGAATGGATATATAAGGTTTTTGAGCCAGAATCTCGAAAAATATTAGGAGATTAGTTTCGATTATTGGTTATGGATAATCACTCTAATTATATTACAAAAAGTTTGATTGCTTTTTATATTGAGAAGAAGATTGATCTTTTTATTCTACTACCTTATTGTTCGTATCTACTTCAATCATTGGATGTTGGAGTGTATAGATTAATAAAGCGATATTATGCTCAAAAAGTTGATTGATATTTTCAAGCAGAAATACAATGAATATAATGATTTAATTAAGTACAGCTTTTTCAAAAGATAAAAGAAAAAGGTTTTACTTATCAAAATATCAAAAGCGAATGGAAAGGAGTAGGTTTGAATCTATTTAGTTTTCATCAAGTTCTAAATAATCTTTCAATCTTACTTTTACCATCACCTTCTATTCCAAATATACTAGCAAACCTAAAAGATTTAGATCTCTCTTTACTTAATAGTTCTCCCCCGAATGATATTGAGCTGTGATAAGCAAATAAGGTATTCAATTCAGCTTTATTCGCTAATAATCTGCTTACTTCTTTAGTATAGAAATATGCAAAGTGGATAACTCATTAGATTGAAAGCTTAAATACTGAAAATGCTATTCTTCGAAAGAAACTTCAAGAATATAAAGAGTTACTTGAAATATGAAAGAAATGAAAAAATGAAAAGAGAATAAAATTAAAAGATGAATTTATATTTAATACTAAAAAAGTATTGAAAATTATTGAGAAAACTGAATAAACATTCTTATTAAAATGACGATATGGTAGACTATTTAAGTATCAAATTGATTAAATAAAAAGAGAGATGAAAAAGAAAGAGGATAATAATAGTTTAATTAGATCAGTGATAATTATAGATCATTCTGTAGTATATAGAACAAAGTCAAATAGGAAAATATAATTTTTATGACCTATATTATGACATGACCCACTTCTAGTCAAGTTACGTTATACCTAATAGACTGACAAGTGCAAAGCTTTGGTCACTTTTTTCTCTTTCATTTTCCTTTGCGCTTAACGAGAGCCAACCATTCCAAGGGACGCTAAGAAAGCTGTCAAACTTTCAGATATGCCACAAAACAGTACCCAGCATCTTATTCGTCCCATCCATTCACTTTCTGTGGCACCATCCTGCGTTCTGGAAGATTTGTTGCACGTCTAGAATCGCAAAGTTCTACCTTAAAGGGCCAGCAAACGTGGAGAAGGCGGAAAGACGGCAGATACAGGACAGGGAGCTTCGGCAGTCACACTTAGCTCAACCCCACCCAGAGTTCTAGACCTCTGGCTTGAAATTCCAGGAGATGTCGAGGTTAAAGAGACCAATAGGCAAACGAGCGCAAAGCTTGGGTCACTTTGCGCTCGTCCAGTTATTGGTCCTTTTGAGATTTTGAGCTCTGAAACTTTGTCTTTTTTTGAGATATGCAACAAAACTTTTCAACCTCTCAAACTACCCGGTCAGCCACGAACGTCTCTAAACGTGCTGCGGGAAGTAGTACGACGCTAAGGATAGCTCCCGCCGCTAGTCTGCGACTTCTCATCTTCAACTATTTGCGCTCGTAAATCTATTGGTTTCTTAATGGGCATGACGTCAATTTCGATGTTCCTCAGATATGCAACAAAAGAAGTTGATAGCAATTTAATTCACCTTCAACGCACGTTCACAAACTTCAGACTATGCCTATGAACTTGCGCTCGCGAGTATATTGGCTGCCTGATTAGTATGACGTCAATTTCGATGTCCTTCAGACGTGCAACAAAATGAAATGTTCGGGACGTAATTCACTTCAGCGCCACGTGTAAAAGCTTCGAGAATTTTCGGACGATGCTAGTGTACGACAAGCTGTTTATGCGTGTCTTTAGTGATTTCAACTTGCGCTTGCAAGGCTACTAGCTCCGACAATTGATCACATCATGTTCGACATTTCCCATATCCATAACAAGGGCACTTGAGTGCGATGAGATTTATCCAAACAACACAAGGTTATGAATTTTCTCATTGAATAAGAATTAATGGCTTGTTCAACCACGTGTCGAAATTCAAGCAAATTCTGTGCCCTTTTGCGACCTAAAGTACCCGACAAGACGTTTCCCAACTTCATCAATTCGTAATCTGTGGATCTCAGCGCACATGAAGCTTTCATGATACAAGCTTGCACCTTCGCTTGAGCATTGATATCTCAGTATATCGAGTCTCTCTCATTATGAGACTGTTCCTGCCACGTCTTCTTAATTTCCGAAATACGCGCGTTTTTTCTGAGCAAGGATTCTTCGGTATATTGAAACGGCGATCCTTCGGGTGAACGAGTCGCATGACTGTATACATATCACTTACCAAGACAGATACTCGGATCATTGAATCCGCAGGGAAACAGTAAATCTGAAGGACAGAATTACGGACGGATAATTCGGGTGGAGGATTGAAGGCATACACAAGATAGGAAAATATCCAGCACAAAGCCAATGACAAGATCGGTACTAGCGACAAGTTGATTAAAGGGGCATTGCTGATTTTCTTTGAGAAAAGTTTTTGCAAATGAAAACGGCGTCTTCTCGCGTCACTTGGCATTTCAGAGCCTATCTGTCCAGAAGGTTTCCAGCGCCGATCGTGGTATCTGCACGCTCTCCACTTACAGATAGGCGTGTTTGGGCAACCTCTTTCATTTTCATCATCTTGAGCCTGGCATTAAAGAGCAATGACAAGGGGTTGAAATCAGAATTCCAAGCTGGATTTCAGAAAATCTAACGCCAGGAATCGTCAATTTGCCACAGAGCACTGGTGTGAATAGCAGATAGCCGAACTTTGTTGGCACTAGACAGAACAATACTTTACCGGCTTCAAGGCAGCCCTAGAGATGCATGCAAGTAGTTCTGCCGCGGAATTGTCATAGTCTATTCCAGGAGGCAGTTGAAGGTATCACAGAGAGTAAGGTCATGACATTGGCATCGAATTCCACCATCCAAGAAAGCTTTCATACATTCGTTCGCACAAGTCTAATTCGCGGAAGCGTTGTGCCATCTCGCCATTTCACTCAACTTTCGACAAATCCCTTGTATCGTCAAGGAAACATTATTAGAGTTTTCACAATCCTCATTACATTTTAGCTCATACATCACTTGATTTCTTGCCGTCATGTTGGATGTCTTGGGATACTTTCCACGGGTTGTTATTCGCCATTTCACCATGGGTTGTCGTCTGGATTAACCATTCTGTGCTTACTCAGCCTCACTCGCGACCCGCGCAAAAATGGAAGGAAATTCAGAAATGGTCTCTTTTCAAAATTTCATTAAAATATCCCTATAAGTTATAGTATCTTTGAAGATAAAGTTTACGGAATCTTTTCTCTATAAATTATTAATACACAAACTTTTATTTTAAGAAATCTCTTGTTTTTGTTTCAATATTAAAATTTGAGTAAGATGTAGAGTTTTGGTGGGCGGCCACGTGACGGCTTTTTCTTCAGGTCGCGGAATGTGCACAGACCCCCATGAAATCAACCTCGAATATTTTCATCGAATGAATCATGGTATTACTACGAGGTACTGCTGTTTACCTATCCTATTAGGAACATCTGCTCAATTATCGCTATCAGCCATAGACAATTCATTTTTCCGAAGATTGCGGTACCATTTCAAGATTCGATGATTCGAGACTGCCGCACCTCTCAACGCCTTCTAGAATGAGCGGGATACTACCACATAAAACTAATACCTGCCTTAACCTTATTGATAAGGGTTGCAAACTTCTCGCGATCTCAAATCAGCAAAGTCATACAAGACACGTGTAAGGGTCTCGGTCTGCTGATTCAAGATGTTCAATTACCGGTATACTTTGAGTCAGTCAGTTCACCCGGCAATCGGCTTTCATTTTGACAGTACAAAGCCAGGGGTTTCAATGGGGTGTCGCATATTCCCCGCCATTCGAAAATCTAAAATCCCACATCCCAGAAATCAACCGAAGCAGGGTGTACTTCGTAGTTTCACATCAAATCCGGTAATTTTTCGTCTAAAATGCCCCAGACGTACTGTAGCATCGAGCTACGATACCCGGTACAAAGTTCAACGAAGTTTATGTATGCAATGAGAGAACATAGGTATTTGGCTGTCAAGCTTCGCTTCCATCTCAACGGAGACATGGATCGTCAGGCATATAAACAAGCCTCGACTGTGGATTCCATCCTTCTATTTGCTATGAGTTGATTTGCCGAATTCCCATCTTTTGTTATGTGACGGCCCTTCCCGTCTTCAGGCACGTATGCCAGGTTTGACCGCGACTTGGCACTTGCATACACTGGATTTCCGCCACATCTCGATTTCTTCAATATTCTTTGAGTCAACATAACAACTGCTACTTGCTCATCACATTCATATAAGCTAGACTTCATCATTTAATATCAATCCTGGATTCAAGCTGGCTTCAAGAAGTCACATCTCTATCACTTACTCACTCGTGGGGGCATCAACATGGCTTGGGGTGTGCTGGATGATTATAAATTGACGAAGGTTCCGGGAACCACTTTATTCAACAAAGAAGGCGTCGATTCGGCAGATGGAGTTGAAGTCGGTTCCAACATCAAAAAATCTGGCTCAATTATTCTCATCCCTCAACCTAGCGAAAGTGTAAATGATCCTCTGAACTGGTATTTGCCGATGAGACCCGGAATATCGTGTATCTCTAATTCGGTACAATGTCTTCAACTCGCAAGAATGTTATTATTTGGATTCTTTCGATCGCATCTGGGCTTACTGTATCGTATGTATACCTACTCACTTGGTAAACAGTAGAGTAATTCTAACAATACCTGCTTAGACTCGGTCCTATGGTTACTCCAGGATTTGGCGAAGTCGCTGCAACATATCATGTCAGCTTCAATGCTGTGTCAATAGCTTTGGTAGGGGTTTTAACTTTAGTTACGGGCACATTCACATTCTTCACTTCGGCTGCTGCGACATTGTGGGGAAAACGACCTACGTTTATCATATCCATGGTTGTCCTGTTGATGACTTCTGTCTGGGGATTCTATGTCACTGTAAGCTCATTTCAGTACAACCTTGAAAAATTCTTTAACATAAAGTCAGAGCTTCGTTTCTTTAACGATGATGCGGGCAATTCAAGGTGCAGCTAGTGCTCCAGTAGAAACGCTGGTTACCTCCACAGTGTCCGATATCTTTTTTGTTCATCAACGAGGGCAAAAGCTGGCAATATGGGGACTCGCTATTCTTACAGGTGCACTGTTAGGGTAAGTCATCTTGTATTTGCTTTTATAGTGTCCTGGGACTCATCGTTTTCAGGCAAGTTATTTCAGGGGTAATTATCGACAATGGGATTTTCAGCAGCTTTCGGAATTGCCTCACTTTGCTACATAGTAATCATTCCTCTGATGTACTTCTTTGTTCCAGAGACGTCATATTAACGGAGAATACTCGAGCGTACTCATATTTTGGAGAAAGATTCCACAATGGAGATTGAAATTCAGGAGATGGAGCCCAAGAAAACATTTGTTGAAACACTTTCTCTGTACAACGGTCGTGTCTCTGACGCAGGCTTTTGGAAAACCGCAATCAAACCTATTCCGCTTATCGTCTTCCCCGCCGTTATTGTCTGCACCTTTGTTTATGCATCATGTAGGTTCTGCACATACATTGGCCAATCAATAGTGTATGCTAATCATGGTGTCTTAGTTCAAACATGGCTAATATCCTTTTCTCTCCTATCTGTCAATATTTTCTCGGCTCCGCCTTACAATTTATCTTCATCGCAAATTGGTCTTACAAATCTTCCCCAATTTTTCATGGGGATTGCCGCAACAATGTTAGCCGGTTGGACCGCGGATAAGATTACTGCATTCATGTCTCGTCACAATAATGGTGTTTATGAACCTGAGTTCCGCTTGACTCTGATGATACCAGCAGTCATTCTTTCTACAATAGGCTTTTTCGGTTTCGGTATCTCTGTAGAACGAGGACTACCTATCTATTGGCCCGTAGCATTCATGACGATTAATTCTTTGGCTGTGCCCTTCGCGACTTCAGCAAGTTTCACATATGTCATTGATTGCCATCCCAGAGATGCAAATCAAGCATTTGTAACAATCAATTTCGTCAAGGCGATTATGGTGTTCGTCTCCAGCTCTTGTATAAATGAGTGGTTGGAGATGGCTGGGGCGAAATGCGTCTTTATTACTATCGGTTTAATTAATGCAGGTATTTGTATGCTGGCTTTGCCGATTTATGTTTACGGAAAGAGACTTCGAGGCTTGGTATGCATTTGGTTCCCCTCATCCGATTCATTCTCCTTGCTCACAGATTCATATAGATTGCTAGATGTTCAATGGCTAAGAAACTTTGAAGAATAAAAGTCAATTCATGATTATTTTATACCAGGATTCTTGTTACTTATTCTAAATGCAATACATCGCGAAAGTCATTCATATCGTCCTGCTTTTCGTCCCATGATCCACGAAGATCACAATACTTTTCTATTTCTATCCACTTCATTTCAAGACGATTCATTAGAAGTTTGGTCGTCAAAGCGCATTTCTCCGATTTGATACTTGCAGTGAAATGGGCCGATGTTTGGTGTTTTCATCTATTTGAATACCAGGTACGCAGTGCCAAGTTATCCGAGAAGATTTCCGTGAAGCGTAGGATGTTACGCATCGAATTTTGTGCCGACTTTGTTTTAGCATGTGGCGATACGACGAAATTTGATATTTTGGCGGGCCCACGAGTACCATATTGCTCTCTTTGCGCAACACTCAAAGCTACGATCAATTCCTTATGACAGGAGATTTTACAAAGTCCTGTTCTTTTGTTCGTTGCCTGGACACCCTTCTTGTTTGATATCATCGATGCATATGGCAAGTTGGAGATGGGATGGCGACCGGTCTCTGCATTGTCTAGTAAATCCTCATACCGGCTTCGAAAATGGCTCGAAACATCCCGAGATCGCTTATGTATCTATCGAAACCTTTCATGGTCTCCTATCTACCTATAAGGACAAACAGAAGTCAAAACGAACCCCCGTCGTCATGAATTCGTTCATCATGTACACAGACAACACAAACAATGACGAGTATTCTGATCCACCAGCATCAAATCCTATGCTAATCGGCTCGGAAGCAATGGTTCAACTCAAAGCAAATACACCAGCATTATATGTAGAGCATATCAAGCTCCATGGAGTTAATATGTCTTACTGATTACCGCTAATGCAAAGACTTTACCTATATCCTAAATAGGCTCTTCAAAACCTTTGTACATTTCCCCCGGGAAAGATTAGAAAGTTAAAAATAAGATGTTAACTTTCGAGTTAGGCAATAGAAGTGTCGACAGCACTACCAGCGAGTTTTTTAACCTCGGTCAATGCCGCCTGGAACTGAGTAAAAAGGTTATATAGCCGTTCCAATACAACTTTACGGTTTAGTATCCATGAAAGGTCGTTGAAGTACCGTTCCGTAAAATCGCGTTGGCCCCGGAATATGGAATTGAAATTTACAGCATGATTGGATCCGTCGGCTTGAATACCCCTGTGCAATTTTCCAATCAGACTGTGGTATAATCTGAGGTTCATGTATTGAGGCTCTGATGTGTATGCTGAATTTAAAGTTCGAGTTGTAGATTTCGATTTGTTGGATAGAGAAGTTGCGACGATAACTGCAAATGTCATCCATACGCGGATTTAGTAACAAACTAACGAACTTCAAGCATCAAGCCAACTCTAGTCGAAAACATGAACTTTCCTATGTTATTTTTTGGCCCGGTAGACCCTTCCTCGCTGTCATTTGACCGCGCTTGAGGAAGGATCTTTGTAATTCTCGTCTTCTCGAATCATAACTCCCTAAGACACAACCAAGATACATCAACATACCCCTCTCACGCTTTGATAATTTATCCTTCTCCTGAAGAACCGATATCGTATCACCATGAAAACCCAAGAAAACCACAAAGATGAAGCCCAAATTCCAATGAGATTTCGCATCTTAATCTACGCATTAGAAAGAGGAATCACGCAGACTGCATTCATGCAAGCCTACAACGAAATACTTTCCGAAGTCGAGAAAACAGAGTACGATTTATCACCCGATGTGCGCCAATCAATGATAGAGCACCAAGTCTGGACGAAATTTTGTATGCGTTTCAACTATCTCAATTTAATGAATGTATCTGATAAATCGTATAGTTCCTGACGAGATTGCTCCGCCACCACTCGAATTTCCAGTCGTGGAGGGATTCTTCGATCCGCCAGTCTCCCGAAAAGCAGTTGAGCAATATCGGATCTGGCAAATAAGTTATCTCGATAGTCACCAAAACCAAAAGAGCGATAGCAAGGCACAGTGCAATAAGATGCAGCAGAGTGGGACTCGTCGCCCAATCCCTGATACTGGGTCTGTAGATTCCCAGCTTCGCTACTCCGGCAGTAATGTGATTCGCGGCGGAGTCGGAGGATGCCAGCTTGCTCGGAATATACAATCACGATCAGATGCGTTTCGGAGCCCTGCCCTTGTTAATAGCGAAATCATATCAATAGGAGATCCAGCCATGGATGACTTGACCATCACTCCAAAAGTCGATAATGATAAAGCAAGTATGCCAAACCAGTTAATTAGATCTTCGAGATCCACATCTCCAATGATTGATCATCTCAATCAACAACTCAACGATCAACAGCCAGGAATATCAAAATCTGAAGCCGATCTGTTTGAAAGTCAAAGGGTACCGGTTTAAAGTATGTTGTTAGACTAGTTCGGACACACGCACTCCGGATTTGAATCAAGACCTTGAGTTGAGAGATCTTGGAGATAAAAAACCTATATTTGTTTTGTCTGGGGAGTTTGAAGAATCTTTTGGAGGGGACGAAAAGTATTAATATAGCAAAGGATGTATCCAATAAAGTGAGACAGAATAACAGGATAGTGAGATGGTTTTCCGCTGTTTTATTAGTTCTTCCATCATATGTGCGGAGATTGATAGGATTGTGTTCGGACAGTATTCACAAGGGTCAAAGGATCAATATCGAAAACTAGGCAGCTAAGCAAAGGGCACGATGAATATCATACTATCACTTAATCGTGATTTTTGGTGGTATAATTACATTAGAATTAAGTTATGCTGTGTAGTCTACCAATAGACAGTCTAATTTCTCATCACCACTCAACTAGTATCTTAACAGCTCAAATCATACTTGAGGTTACCACTTCCATCTGCAACACCGAACGATGGAACGGCATCAAAGTCCTGAAGGGTGTACCAGAAAGTATGTCCCTCATTGAATGCCTCGCAAGCAACGTTCTTCCAGTATGTACGAGCATTGTCAACCGATGCAACAGCCGCATTCTCCTGAGCACCTGCAGTAGGCCATCCACTCTCCGTAACCCAAACCCAAGCACCACTTTGAGCGTTCTGAACAGTCGTGCGGACTGCATTTACAGAGTCCCAGAATAGTTGAGATCCTTGACTGATGTCGTTGTTTTGCGTGTTTTGGAAATAGGGGTAGCCGTCTAATCCGATAAAGTCACATGCTTTGATAACTTCAGTATTTCTTCCATCAACCCACATGGTCCATGTATCGACGTGTCCAACTTGTACTGCGCTACTGTATCCGGCAACGGTACTCAACATTCCTCTAACGTCATAGATCTGTTGTGCGAGTGTGGAAGCGGTAGTATCTCCTCTGTACAAATCTTCAGAGCCAACAGATACAGCAACGACCCAATCGAAACCATAAGTCTGAACGGCGTGCAACAAAGCTTGTTTCTCGTTATTAAAATGAGTGGCATCCTCGGTCCAAACTCCCAAGAGAACTTTTCCGCCGGTGGCAATAGCAGCTGGGGCAACGTTGGCAACGGTGTTACAATCCGAAGATGCGTAGACTCTTAAACTGTCGAATCCACCGGGGAATGATTGGATGAGACGGAAATCGTTTTCCCAATCAGCTTGAGTCTTGCAAGCACCGTTTGCGAGGGTAGCTTGGGAGTTGAAACCTTTCCAGTATGCGTTTGCGCCGGTGAGAGTGCTCGCAAGTGCGAGGGCAATGGATGTTGACTTCATGATGATGATGATATAAATAGGGATTAATTTAAACGGTGGTATAGAGTGCAATGAAGAACTCTGGGTATGTCAAGTAGGAAGTGGTAGAGAGATTATATACTAGATATTGAAACAAAAGAGAAAGAGGCAAGAAGGGGAAACATGAGATACTTATTCAATTGCCAAGAACGACTACTACCACATTCACGAGTCCCTGACGTCTTGCATACCTAGTAAACAACTTACTTGCACATAAAATGTCTTTTTTTCTCGTATTTTCAATGTCGTGTTAACATCGGACTGGGTTATGCGGTGTCTTCGTATTCAACGTCATTTGTTTATGTTGCCTTGTGTAAGTAAAATGAAGAATCTTTTCTAGAAGATCAGCAATTTATGCCTGTTAAGACCAGCTTGGCGCTACTATATATAGCTTCGATAACCAATTGGACAATCTGACAGCAGGAGAAATAGTGGGAATGATCATCTAGGTTAATCTTAGAGTTGAATGGTGGTTGAAATTTGTTCAGATGAACAGTTTGATGAACATTTTATGCTTAATTTCTGTTGTGTAAATGGAAGATGGATGGCAAAATATGAATGGTGTAAGCTAATGACTATTGGATATCAGGGGTGCTAGCTAACGGACTCGGGAGAAAAGGAGAAGAAGCATCAGCTGGACCAATCACGAGTCTTCGGGTACGACTGGGCTGTGCAATGTCCCTTAGCAATGGATTCGTTCCAGTATTCCGATCTCCGAGTGATGATCATGGCTCGATTGTTTACTCCTTCAGGAGACTGAGGCGAGAGTGTATACAGAATTGCAGGAATTAGCATGAACCTACTACTGCTGCCGGTGGGGCTAATATCTCATTGAATTGGCATGAAAGACAATCAGTAGCTTCGAAAGGGGTCCTGTGAAGTTGATACCTACCATCTTTCGTTATGAGACCCCCTCTCAAAATCCAGCTGGATCATTGTTGTGCTGCACTATACATGCCTGTTATGTGTTCCCATAATTTTCTATATTTGGTAATGATTCCTGGGTCTTAAGACAACTATTTGGCAAAATCGTAGATTATGAGGTCTAGAAGTGGAAAGGGGCCAAGACCCCTCCTGTGCATATTCTGCGAAAGTAGATTGTCTTTCATTTTGACATCCCGTCCTCGAACGTTATATTCCGAATGATTTACCCTCTTGAATCTAAGCATCTTCAAAGCACTGAAGCATTGACACGCGATGGAGAATAGTAAGCCAAATCTACAGTGAGGGACGTCGGCTTGGCCATTTTTACCTCCTAATTCTAGTACAGGAGAGGATGAATCGAACGCCAAGCCCAATGCAAGACACCTTCATCCCATATGATACATAGACGTTCATTGATTTCTTTTGCTTTTGCCCCCTTCCTCATCCACACCCAGTGCTCATTTCCTTATCATGAAAGATGTCCAGCCGCCAGACTTCGGCTTTTGTTCTTCCCCATCAGTTCCTATCCTATCCAGCGGTCCACCATTTCTCTGTCTCTCCTTCTCTGCCTCAAATGCGGATTTGGCCTTATTTTGTATTGCCATTTTCTTCTCCTCGATCGCTCTTAAAACATCACTTTCCCTCTCCCCAAGATTATCGTCCTCTTCGCTCAATGCCTCATATCCTAGCCTCCTCTCACTAGTCCCTACATCATCTCCCTCTTCCTCCTTCTTGAGGCCCGAAAACAACCAATCCTTACCTTTCTTCCATGCTCCAGGAGCCTTCTTTTTGGCCTCTTCCGCAATCTTTACTTTCTGTTCCCGCTCCTTTTCTCTATTCAAAAACTCTATTTGTGATTCGGTTGCAGTGCCAGATGCTGCGGCAGTTTGTGCATTCTCAAGTGCCATGGCATATTTGAATTTCTGTTCTGCGTAAAACTCGGCGCGCTTCTTGCGATTATATACCATCATATCTCCCAATGCATAGACTGTGACGCCACCGGCAATAACTAAAAGGAATCAATTAGCACATGCACAGCTTAAGCTACCAGGACTTCCAGAGTCGAATCAAGAGTAATGGATTCCCAATTGAAGCCCGAGAACGATGCGGGGAAATCGTACATGTAAGTCCAATCAAACTGAAAGCTGTAAACCTATGCGCCTTATCCGCCCACACTCTTCCCCTTAAAAGGAACTTATCGAAAGTCGAAATCTGTGCATCTCTAGCCTTATCTGCCGCGGCCCTTAACCTCTTCACTCTCTGATGCGGTGTCTCTCCCGGTGGCCCTGGATTTCTCGATACAGGTTTTGGTTTTGTAGCAGCGTGTGGGGTCGTCGACGTAAATCGTGTTGCATCTGATGCTGAGCGCGCCATCCTTGGGAAAATCTATTGAGAGGATCTTGAATAGGAAATACCGTAACTTGGTGGTGTTGTCGTATTACAATGGAGGATTATGATCGATCTTTCATTACCTACCGAATGATTTTTTTCGAGATGTCATTGACCCGTGGGATTTCTTAGCGGCGGGTCATTCCGCATCCCTGCAATACCATACCATACATGGTGGAAGCTCTCTGAACAATTTATTACTTGAGTATCAATACAATACAATTCAATTCAATTCCATTCAAATCTAATTGATATATACATTTCCGGTACACCATTTATAGATATCAACATCAAGAGTATTTAAGCCTTATGGGTCATGATAGAGATCCTTGCAAGGACGACCTTTCATCCTTCCTTCAGTCATTCTCATCCCCAATCAAGAAAGAATAAATCAAATCATATAAAAACATCAGTTCGTCGAGATGTCGTCCAGTAATCCAACTCCAGATCTTGCTACTGTAATGGAAATCTTAGCAAATCTAGCAAAAGCTAAGAATCAACAACAAGCTCAACCTTCCACGCAAACAGCTTCAGCTCAAACACCAGATGTCACGTCACATGGTCAAGCAATCCAGCAACAACAACGACAACAACAACAACACTGGCCTCAGTCTGTAGCCCCTCCGATAACACAGCATGAATCTGGTCAGCTCCAAGCTCAAGCACAGTCTATCAATAATTCAAAGGCCGTTGATCCAGCTACCATCATTGAGTGGAGTGCGGGCCTGCGATGTGTTATGAGGACGTTGAATAAACACGATCATGTGCTACAGGAAATTCGGAAGGTTGGTTATATTTGCTAATAGCAGTCTGGCCTACTCTCGTAGCTGGCTGTAAAGTATTTCACTTGAGCTTACCTATATATAGATGATCAAAGTACAACATGAGCATGAAGAGCAATGGTGGAAGTCGAGAGTAGCTCTTATAGAGCGACAAGCCGCTAGGAAGGAAGGGCAGAAGAAATTAGAAGAAGTGTTGTGAGTTGTCCTACTAGATTGGTTGAGTCCCGGTGATCCAAATGATTGACCTCGATATAGGAAAGCAGTAGGTGGAGCCACATCAAGCGGGACATCTAACACCAGTCCCGAAGAATTGGCAAAAGAGCTAGAGACATTCGACATGAAAGTCTATAAAGCTCAAACTCAAATGGTCAGAGAGATGAATGGAAAATTAAGGAATTTAGGAATATCATTCTTTGGGACGAAGAGTGAACTGGTTAGAATTCCTGGAAAGAATGATGCCACGAATAGGACGGGGACGGCTAGCACGGAGGGGGAGAAAAGTATGATTGATGAAAATGAATTGGTGGAGCTGCAGAAGAAAATGCTTAATATCCTAGAAGATATGTGCAATGACTGAGCTGGATCACAGCAAATCAAACAAGCATGTTTCGAGCGAGCTTTTTTTTGTTGCATGTCGTCAGGAAGAACTCCTTCCATGAAATTTGACCAAATGGAGAAATTAAGGAATAGGAAGCAGGCCAAAATCTTCGATTTGGAATCCCGAGTCATATCAACATCAATGCCAAGGTCGGGAGCATTATTTCATGCATATAATTTACCGTGATAGAACATCACTTCCAAGAAATTATACCTACCGTACCCAGTCATATCAATATTTTAGAAAATATCCCAGGAGTATTGCGGGCACTACAGACAATCATCATATTTCATATAATCATATCGACCGGCATCTAGATTTCGGACTTCGAATTCCATGTTCCGAGCTTGAAGAATGAGTGCTATTGGCGGAAATTATAAATAACTTGAGTGTATGGCTGGAAGAAGGCCTTCCGTATTACTTTTCCGGATGCGGATGAAGCTGCTGCGGTTGCGTGATATCCCGCTCCTAAGGCTAGAAGCGAGACGGTTGAGGCTGGGGTGTTTAATATCCCCTGTTAGTTCTGATATTGCACAACTTGTGTAGGCTGGACTATGCGAGGATAGATCTCGGTGGTAAATAATTTATAGGAAATGGGTTCTTCTGGGTCATGTACATATATCGAATATCTAGTGTGGAAACAATACGATGTGTCGTCTGTCTATTGGAATGAAGGGGATGATAAGGAAATTAGGATGAGATGGGCGAGCTCCAGTCTTGAAACGATCCATTTAGCTTTCTTGGTCAAGTAAACCTTTCATATCACATTCCTTGATCGCGGCTTTAACACGTACCTATCGGAGAAATTTGAAGTGTTGGGATTTGTGTACCCTGGATAAGTGTCCAATCGGATCTTCACACGATGCAGGAAGATTGTCCTACATTTCACAGGGCATTGTTTCTTTCATCCAGTTTGTTATTTTTTTCGTGTTAAAAATTGTCCTTTAAAACATGCCAATATCAAAATCAAAGTCATGATGACAGTCATAATCACAGTCATAATTTATGAGAGTAATGCCGTTGAGAGGTGAATTTTAAGGAAACTATCTATGCACCACCTAAAGCCTAAACAAAGAGTCTCAACCAATCCCTCCCAACCACGTATTGAAGTATCAATATTTCCTCCGAATTAACCTCCCAGCCCTGCCCCCAAAGAAATTCATCCGTCACTCCACGCCAGGGGTACATCAACCCGTTCCTTTGCCTTGCCATGTTGCAATGTCGAATTCCTTCGTATAATTGTCTCCGAACCCTAATCCCGCCCCGTATTTCATTAATTGATGCTTCCTCTAACTAGGACCCATGTCCCGAGGGAGTACAGAAGAAGTATCATTTTTTTTTCTATTTTTATCTCTCTATAACGCTTATCCATACCATGATGTTTACGTTTGTGAGGTCCTCAGGGTTTCCCAAGACTGGCCTTTTAGTGATGAAAATTCTTCAGTCAAGAAGACCGTATAACGGGAAACCTGATGTGTGAGGAGATTATTCGGCCAAACACACCCTTGAGTGAGAAGAAGACTCAAGCTGTGAGAAAGACATTGGGGTCGTCAAGAATAACAGCAATATCGATGAGATAGAGCTTTTAAGTAGAATTTGCACCCGACCACCCCTGTTCAACGTTCTTTCCAGGCCAGATAACATCGTTGACATTTTCATATCTATCAATGATGGTATGAGTCTTTCGCATTGCAAAAGGCCATGGATAGAGCTCGCCAGTGGTGATATTTGCCATGTCTGGCTTGTTTTCTTCGGCCTCCTGAACATAAAGATCCCTATAGTCATTTCTCCAGGTCTTCCTAACTTGAACACTGTCAACAGTCTTGAAGAGTCCCTGAAGGGGTTCATCTGGAATAGTGGAAGAGGTCGCGGCGGGCTTAAAGACGACCAGTGTCTCGGCATTTGGATCTAAAACCTTGCCACATGCAATCATCTTAGCCGGATCGATATCTTTTGAAACAGAGGTTTCTTCTAAAATTTGAATTGCAGATTCTTTGAAGACGGCGCCGGTACGCTGGCTGTTTGGCTCGGACGACTGAAGAATTTAGATGGTAAATGGTGTCCCGGATTGGCCTCTGTCTAGGATCTGATCAGCCATAGTGTTGATCCGACGAGTGAGGAAATCTGTTGCGTCCGCCGAAGTCGACTCATCGTTCTCATGGAAACATGATGTGGGAGTGTGGTAGCAAAGTTCCTTGCAAGGGAAACTTGTATTTGTGAATCGAGTGATGTCTTCGCAACCATTGTATGAGACACCCCAAGCTGGTACAACTATGAGTCTGTCAAGTTGCAGTCCTTGCAAGATTTGCAGTCCGGACAATTGTTCTTCGCCCTCGACAGTCTCAGGGGCTTCAGGCTCCTCACCATTCGTGCGGATACGAACATTACGGATTTGGCTGATGGTAGAGATGGGTAGAAGGGAGAACTTGTCCAACAATGGGAAAGTATCTTCAAAATCGAAGAGGACCCGACTGATCCAAATGTTGCTAGTTTCTTGGTACATTTGTTTGCAAACGCGGAGGATGGCGAGTGCGTTGCGAGCTGGCACAACCTCGCGGTACTCACAACTGATTTGTCTGTGTCCAAATGTGAGACGAGTGGAGTCAAAAAGATGTTCGATAATCATATCCCGCAACTCTTTTGGTAGGTTCAAGAGGCGGGATCCGGTCTTTGGGCACGAGCTCACAGTCATGGCTCCACGATGATTTCTGAGTGGTGATCGGGAGCGATAAGAAACCTGTTGATTTCTGCGAGTGGATCTGGAACGTGACTCTCTTCTGCGCCCGGAGGCGCGTTGATTGTTCATGTCGTTACTAGAAGATGATTTAGGAATCTTGAACGTTTCTCTATCAAGTGTTGGTAAATGTGAGAATAGATGGAGATTTTCTGAGTAGATTTTTGTTGTTGGTAGAATTTGTTGGGTAGATGATTGTGAGTTGATCTGTATGTAAAGGTTTAGGAGGAACAGTGGAAAAAATAACCCTTTTAAGCAGAAATGGATTGGTCCTGAAAGCTTGCGTGTAGCGTAAGTTACGGCATTTTACTAATCATCTAGGCAGCATATACCGTAAACATGTTCTCAAGCTTGCGCAATCCAGCTAGTGACTGTATTGTAGCAATAATTAAGGTGAATGCCTCGCCTAGTTGTAATAAGGGGGGTCAAATGGTTGTATTTAGCACTTCTGAAACAGTGTTTCTTGTTAATGAACTCGCGCGAGAGTGTAATCCGGCCGTATAAAAGCAAATTGAAGGCAACCACCTCGGTTGTCTTGAATCATGATAGCTGAAATTTGTAATCATGGTGGTAAGTTGGCGGTACGGTAGTAAAATACGGTTTAAATAGCACACGCTAGGCACTGGTTATACGGTTTCTTGTATGGATTTGAGCGTACATATAGCCTATTTGTGATCATATGATGAAAATTGATTATCATCAGATCTAGATAGCCGTACGGTGACACGGTGAAACTTATTACGGTAACTTATCACTTCATTGCACATGTAGATGTGATGTGGTATGAGGAATAGATGAGCCGTAATAGTATATGGGGCTACATAGAGCAAGCGAGTCAGTGGGTGGATAGTGGTTAGCGGCTAGCGGCTACAGGAGGGTAAGGGAGGAAATAGGAGAATGTGGAGGAAGTCACCTTAGATGATACAGGAGGAGGCAGGAAGAAGGTCGTTTCTTAGGGGCTGGGAAGTAATAGTAACTTCATTAATCCGTGCTACTAGCCATGAGCTTTACAATTTTCTTGTGAATTTCCCTCTCCCTATAGTACCATCCGCCCCTATCATCATTTTCATTGCCTCTGGCCAGTCGGGAATCATACCGCTGAAATCCTCACGAACGCATTTACGGATGCAGTTATGTTCTTTCGCCGCATGAACACGTTGAAAGGTTGGCATGTGTTTTGAAGAGTCGCAACAAAGATCAATATATATCAGAAGCTTTCGTTGAAAATCTCTAACAATATTACAGCTCTACATTGGTCGAATCCCTACATGCTATGGTGGCCTCTTTAATATTTCCAAGCTGCAATCCTACGTTTAGGGGGAACAGAGTAAGCGGGCAAATGTACCAAACTATGCTGAGCTTTGACATACTTGGCTGAGGCCTCCATCAAATGGTTGTATGTATATGGCAGGATAGCTTACTGGAAAGGCTCCGAGGTGGGAAGATGCACCATGGAATGTTCAATATCAAAAGACCGAAGAAATCCTTGAGGATGGTTTTTGCGAAGAGATGGAAAGACTTGATATTGGGAGGCCTCAGTAATTTGACAGTGTTTCCGATCACCTCGACTGTGTCGAAATGTCTAATATCAATTAATATTACTTTTTGTTATTACGATCGATAGCCCTGATTTAGAGAAAAGTAATTATATAAACAGAAACTTGAAAATCTAATTCGTTGATTCAATAATTAATTAATATAATGAAAGGAAAAGAAAAGTTTCAGAATTATTCGACGGTTTATAGGGTGAAAAAGAATTTTATAATCAAATAAAGATATTAAATATAATGTTTATTTATTATATTTATATTACATTAGAAAATACAAATGAAATTTAATTATTTTAATTTTATTAAATTTATTTAGTATATATTTTAATAGAAAGAATATATTCACTTTATAATCTTAAACTCCCTAAATAGATATACACTTTTCATCAAATTACAGATGTTGATGTTGATTGCATTAAAGAAATTCAAATTATTTGGAAAAAAAAAATCTTGTCGTGTTTGAGTGTCAACGACAGTACAACCCAAGCAGAAGTGTTGATACGCTCAGGTAATTGACTTTGTTGAAAAAAACGAGGTCATTAAGCGATGTCATGAGCTCTGGAATGGTGATTGCATAATCCCATCAATGCACATAGAGATCTATGTATTCGGTTTCAAGTCTCTTGAGTGATATTTCAACGGAATATCTGAGAAACTTAGTTCCATTGCCTCCAAAGTTCGATTGGGGTTTTCCAGATATCCGTTGGCAGTATCAATGAGGTTGCCACCTAGACCCCTGAAAGTATCGAGTATTTCCAAAAAAAAATTCCTTGTCCCACTCTCCCAAACGTGCTTTATCTGCATCACCAAAGTTCATGGCTCCCAAGTAGATTGGAGAAACTCGCACATTGGCTGCTGGAGCTAGTTGGCGATGGCGGAAGAGCATAGACTCAGGTACTGGTGCAGGTGGGAATGGTGGTGCTATTTTGATGATTGTATGTGAAAGCGAGAACAGAATTGAACTGTTGATGGGTTGAGTTATGAAGAAGAAGTTTATCTTATAGCAATGATATATATATCAAGAAGAAGGGATGGAAGAGAACTTTATACCTAGACAAAGACGTCTATCTGCCATATTTGCGTTACGCTGGGAGATACAAACGGAGTTCGATCACTCTAACTCCATTAGATTCATCTAGCATATACCTTAGTAGAAAGAACATATTCACCCTATAATCTTGAACTTCCTAAGTAGACATACACCCTTCACCAAACTACAGATGTTGATGTTGATACTTTGTCTTGACCACTTTGAGCTAGAACGTCGATGTTCATCCAGGCTCGCAATGCCCCCACTGAAGCACCATTCACTGGGCAATAGCCTATAACTGCCACTGACGCACGATAAGCAGGCTGCATTGAACTAAGTCGAAGTGGGCTTCGTTGTGGTCCTTCTTGAAGTTAGCATCAGCCTCGACCCTTGGTTGGGTATTTCTAATCTACCACCGAGAATCTTATCCCTCCGGCTTCTTCAATTATCACCTACTTGTACTAGTTTTCATATCGTTTCAATATGCCAGACGTCGTTTGCATTACCAAAGTACAATCTCCAATTCCCGAAAGGATCATTCTCGATTTTCGGACGAAACATAGATAATCGTCGAGAACGGATCATGCCACCCCAAGTCGAGCTCACAGGTATGTCTCAACAGACTGGGACCAGTTGTATCGACGATGATTGGACCGGCATAAAAGATATAGCAATTAGAGGGAAATTACAGAATCGCTTGAAGCAGAGAATATACCGTGAGATCTACTTCTGCGGTTCGTTGGTGTTGGAGTTTGGTATTTGTTAAAGTGATTGTCGCTAACTCATTCTTCGTATGTCCCGCCAGGCCAAAGCCGTAACGCTCCATCGAAAACTCGTGAAGATCGCGGAAACGATCCTTTAATTGAGGCTTCACAGCTTCGAGAGCGAACGGTCCATGGTGAAGTCGAATCCGTTATCGATAACGAACCTCCGTGACCTAACGAGAAGCAATCCACTCAAGACGAGCAACCAAGCAATGCTTCTACCACATCATCGACAGATATAAGTATAAAGCGATGGACAACAGGTCGCGTGTCGAGATATCAAGGGTTTTGTGAGATTCGACTTATGCTGGCCACATTCGAGGAAGAAGCTCGTAGGAATTATTCGATGGGCTCTCCACGAACAGATCAACTCCTCACCCTCATTCAATTCAACGTTTTTCGCGCATTGATCAAAAACACGCGAACAATAGGTTGGAACTTGGATTGGCTAGACTGTACGATCGATCCTCCATACCCGTGGCTTAATCTTTCCACAAAGTTTGTACCTGGAGCGCATTGTCCTCAAGCATTGTGTCCAACAAACCTTCAGCGCACAATCCCTCATCATCCATGGCTAGATCTTTGGCCAATTCCTCAAATAATGCGCGATAACCTATTATTGCATGCTGGAAGTTACGATGAAGATCGGTTGTGTAATGATCTAGTGGAATTTGAAGGTCTTATGAACGAACAATCGGGCCTCATTGTTTGGGGAGAACCGTGGGATATTTGGGGATGGGGTGTTAGTGAGACTTTCTTGAAGAATTGGGGATGGGCTCTCAAGGGTTGTGAAAAGTTATTGACTTCAACAAATATTTGGAAGGCGAAAAGAGGAGAGGAAGCCCTTGTTTTTGAGGTCTGAACAAACTACCTGACCTTGGGACGAAGCGCCGAATGTTATACTGGATTAGACTCTCAGATTCTGAGCTCTGCCGGTTGATATGTGTGGACCCTTCCTTCCTACTCGTGCGGCCAGGAATCATATCCAATATCGTCTAGCACAAACACCACCAACGCCGCCAATAACAAAGACTACGTGGATGTTGAGTAAGCGTACTGACGGGATAACCTCTCTGACAAAAATGGCAGAAATGCAAGTCCATTGGAACATGCATTCAAATATGGTCTTCCAGGTAGCATTTCAGCTAACAAACAATCCACGCGCCATACTCTACGACCTACGGGAAAACATTACGTCGCTTCGATCTCAATCATATGGGGGAGGTATTATCATTGCAAAGTGTTGATACACATAGAGCATCATATGATCTCAATTTTGTTCATACCTGTAGAATTTCGCTCGGTTCAAAGTTTGTCTGCAGTTCCAACCTCTCAGAATAAGCCTATCTTTTTGTTTTCGCCGCACAGCAACTTGAGAGAAGGATCAAAATGCTGAAAGTTCAATAAGGCCTGCGCCATCGAGATGAAGCACAGAATTGACCAACGTATCATTCATGGCGTTCTCTAATTGAGTTTGCGGATAGAAGAGACGAACAAGAATGATGCTAATCAAGGTAACATTTTACGTAGAAGACCCCTTACCGGTCCATCGGAAGTAGTCTTTCGTTGTTCATTTGACCGAGCTGTAGCAAATAAATCTGTTTAAGTGGATTGATTCTCAATGTGACTTCCATTTCCATTCCCATTTTGTTGTCTTACTGTCAGATGCTCTTGGCACGAGTCAATATTCAAGGATATCTCGCGAATCGGCTCGGGCCAAATTTTGGAAAGAACAAACATTTGAATTTCAATTACGACTCGACTTATGGTTTCAAGCGGCGAAGTTAATGTTTCAATCGAGGGCCTCGGAGGTTTAACAATGGCACGGTCGAGTCAAGTGGCTCAGTTGCGTACATCACAAAACTCAGTCGTTTGAATCAGCAGACTAGCACTAAGGCTAAGGTACAACATCAAGACTTTCTCCACAATTTAAAAAGCAAAGTAACTACCTAGGTACTAATTGCAGCATGCGTCTCACGAAATACAAAAATCAAAGGTGTCAAATGTGAGAGGTGAATTGTTCAGGCCATTCCTACATGACCACAATATGGCATAGTCTATTTGTCAGTTCAAAGACATCTCCTGCCTCGGCAAGTAAAAGATATTTCCATCATCCAATACAAACTATTCCTTAAACTTGCTTTTGAATGCCTATGTATCAAGTGATCTTCATTATGCCGTTGATTTACGCTCTTTCCTGTGGAAAACCGCAACTCCCCATCCCAGAGTGTTCAAACTACCTTATTAAGTTGAGACCTGAAAGATTGAAGAGAGTCGGACTACACATGCATAGCACATATCACCAGCCATTTACAGTCTTGCAAATATTGAGAGCTGCTGGGTCCACACTTTCAACGCGCGCTGACCTTGTTTCATTGATTCTTCAACCTTTTGTGTGCTGGAACACCCAGCCTTTCTCTCCACGAAACTGAATAAAAGCATTGGATAAGCCCGCTTCCCACAAGTAAATTGAATCCATCCACTCAGGCTCTCCCTTCCCACTTTAACAAAACTTATGATGCGTCGCTCGCTTGTTTCTCTGTGTTGTGCACTTGGCTTAGCTGATGTAGCCACCTCACAATCTACCTCCTCGCAGCAATCTACTGCCAATGCAGAGGTTGCTTTCAAGCAGTTGCAAACATGGTACAACGCCACTTCTGGACTCTGGGCCACAACAGGATGGTGGAATTCGGCCAATTGCTTAACTGTTATTGGTGATCTCGCTGCCGTCGATTCAAATGTCAAGTCGGCCGTCACCAGTGTTATGTCAAACACCTTTATTCAAGCTCAAAAAACCAACCTAAAAATGATGAAAGTCGTGTTAACAGACTATAATTATTTATCAATGTACGGAGATTCTACTGGCGCCATGAAAAATCTTCCTCTGGCAAGTGAATTCCCAGTACATTTAGCAACGACTGTGAATCCTTCGGGTTTCTTGAATGACTATTACGACGATGAGGGTTGGTGGGCATTAGGTTGGATTCAAGCGTACGATGTTACAGGAAACGGCGACTATCTGACCATGGCCGCGGATATTTTTGCCGACATGAAGAATGGCGCCAGCACACCCTGCTCAAATGGCGATGCAGGAATTTGGTGGGATAAACCAAATACATATGTAAACGCCATTGCGAATGAACTATATTTGAGCGTGGCTGCCCATCTTGCGAATCGCGCAACGGGGTATGATAGCGCGAATTATTTGGCCATTGCGGAAAATCAATGGACTTGGTTTCAAGGGACTGGAATGATCAATGCACAAGGAACAATCAACGATGGATTGACGAGTTCATGCCAGAACAATGGAGAAACCGTTTGGAGTTATAACCAAGGCGTTATTCTGGGGGGACTCGTCGAACTTTCGAAGGCAACAGGTGACTCGAGTTATCTTGGTACCGCGAAAAGCATTGCGACAGCGGCAATCGCAGCACTTTCAGACTCAAACGGAATCCTTCATGACGCATGCGAACCGGACTGTGGAGCAGATGGTGCACAATTCAAAGGAATTTTCATGAGAAATCTCCAGAAACTTCACCAAGCATCACCCGATTCAAGCTACCTAACATTCATCTCAAATAATGCAAAGAGTATATGGGCAAATGACAGAAATACAAAGAATAATATCTTGGGTGTTAATTGGGCAGGACCATTTATCGCACCGGGAGATGCAAGCACGCAGAGCTCAGCGCTGGATGCTCTTGTAGCGGCGGTTGCGGTAGGTGGCGGCGGGATTGCGAAGGCAAGGAGATGGGTTGCTTGATGTGTATGGGATATGTGTGAGGACTTAAGAAGTCGTAATTTCGAACGATAATAGAAATCAATGGAGTCAGGGTGTAATCGGTGCTAGGATATGGTTATGGGTGACATGGAACTCCTGTCAATGCTTGAGGAGTTATACGGGATGGACATCAGATTTTACTGTTAATACTGGATAGGCTACCGGTGGGAGTGCTACATTGATACCTTGATATTCTGAATTAAATATCGAATTGAATCTATATGAAATGTCATAGAAAGCTTTCCTGAGTTTCCATATGCAGCAAGTTTCTTTTTGTCATGAGTCGTAGAAATATACCAGCACCTGTTTGTGCGGCAGCAGCAAAAACTTCAGAGTCATAGGTGAAAACTCACACCAAACGCGCAAGACGCGTTCCAGATCCACGATCAATAGTTTACAGCGGAATCAATAGAAATGATTATATATAGAACTCATCCTTGCACTTGCGCCATCGGAAGAAAGAAACAATAATGTCCCGGCTGTGCATTGACATTGAAAGCTTTACTAGTTATCGCGATTATCTTATGAACATTGTCCGAGCACTACCAATCTAGTGACGAGTATCTTGGAAAGATAAGAAACCCTCGAGCCTTAGGATCGGAGCACTACATGCTAAGTCGACTTGGCTACTGATCTATGTAATAGGTAGAGTCTCGACATCATGAATGTAGAAACGGGCTTCGTTTCCGAGGGCGCGTTTTTTTGGACTTGGTTGGATCTTGTCATTGTAAGGGCCGCAATCGCGTTTCGTTTCATAGACACAACATAAGGAAGACTGAAAGAGAAATTGCAGTTGGTATCATGATAGGACATTATTCGTTATTACTGTTCAATCATTAATTACCAATATGGCGTCTACCAAAATGTCTGTCTGTCTGTGTATCCGTATATGCCTGTTTGTACATCAAGATCTATCCAGCAATATTTTCTCTCCTCCCATTATTACAAATATTGACTCTCCTCTCCGCTACAATAACCCAACTCATCTATCAAAATCCATTTTATACCAACCCTAAATCGAAATTCAGAAAAGAGAAAATTTACAACAAAACGACTGCGGCACCGGCAATCAAAGCAAGCATTGAACCAGCTTGAATAGAAGTCGCTGCGCCGGTGAAAACAGGTGTGGTAGCTGTACTAGTACTCTTTGGTCCGGAACCAGTACCCGATGGAAGGACGCTGTAGCTTGGTTTGGTGGTGCCGGTAGTGGAGTTACTATATGTTCCTGGAGAACCGGAACCGGAACCGGAACCGGAACCAGAACCAGAACCAGAATCAGAGCCCGAACCAGAACCGGAACCAGAATCAGAGCCCGAACCAGAACCGGAACCAGAATCAGAGCCCGAACCAGAACCAGAACCAGAGCCCGAACCAGAACCGGAGCCCGAATTAGAACCAGAGCCCGAACCAGAACCAGAACCGGAGCCCGAATTAGAACCAGAGCCCGAACCGGAACCAGGACCGGAACCCGAACCCGAACCAGAACCAGAACCGGATCCCGAATTAGAACCAGAGCCCGAACCGGAGCCATGACCTCCTGATGAAGATCCCGAGGGACTAGAGCCAGAGCTGCAATCGGTTGGGGCGGGTCCATCAGCATAAACTGTGACGGTCTTTGGTGGGGCGCACATCGAACCGATGGAGGTAGGTTGGACGAACCAGACGATGGGGCTGGTGAAGGTTACGGTCTCGATAACTTTGGAGATGGCGGTTGTGGTGGCAGTAGAGAAGGCGGTAACTGTCGAGTTCTTGGTCGCGTACGCAGTGGTGGTAGCGAGGGAAATAGAGGAAGAGGTTGTGGGGTCAACGCATGATCCGGTAAGGGAGAAGGCATTGGATTGGGCGTAGATGACGTAGGTATTGGTTCCGTTGATGAAGTTGAGTTGCCATCCGTAGTCACTGCTCACGTCACAGGGAATAGTAACATCGACGCTCTTCTCGGATTGTGGAACATTCTGAGCGAGGGAGATGACGGTAGGAGGCCAGTCTTTGAAGTTGACGAGGTAGATGGAGAATTGGGATGCGTCAGTATCGACGGACGACCATTTCACAGTGGTGGGTTTGCCCTTTGTAACGGTGGAGTTGAGAGTTGGAGTAAGAACGGTGTATGCGGAGGCAGCGGCCACCAAAGTGATGAGGGAGAAGATCTTGGAGAACATTATGAATATGAAGAAGAACACGAAGATTAGAGAAAATGAATGAATGAAATTTTAGAAAGAGTGTAAGTTGGCAAAGCCTGAGTTGTACTAAAGAGCGTGGGTGGTAAATAAAACCTAATGGAGGATATTCTTGATTCTTGAATAGAGAAAATATCTGACAGACGAAGGATTAGCAAGGAGTGGGTAGCTTGGATGCTTTTGTATCCATCAACCATCAACACCATAATCTAACTAACTCCCTTGGACCAAACCAAATTTTATCATAAGTGATATGTAGGTAGGATGCAAACTTGCGGCACATGTTTGTGTAATTTCCCTTCATACCCCTGATTTTAGTATTGATCTTACTTACCTCGACCCCATCAAATCAACGCCAAGGGTCCGACCTATGAGGCACAGTAAAAATGAGATGGTAAGATGTAAATGATGGATGGATACTTGGGATGAACGGATGGATAAGTTCATGGGTTAAACTTTTTATATATTATAATATTTCATACATCGACACATTGAAAAATCGTGTTGAGTGGGGCTACATACAACAAGTCTCTAATAACATCGGTTGATATGGATATGGATATGTTTTATCTACATGAGATTATATGAAACAGAATCATCGACAATAGGATTTCTTTCGACTGTCGCCTTTTGAACGATATAAGGCTGCTTCAATGCTTTGATTGATTGACAAGTGTAGCGGGGTGTCGATCTAAAAACCCCTGATGAAAAAGCAAACAATAGACTAATAAGGCCAGATGCATGCAATAGATAGTCTTGAGAGTCTTGGTGGACCTGCAGTTATCCGGTCCCATGCAGCCGAATGTGTTCCAATATCTAACCAATCTGTCTCTGTTGGTGGTACAGAGCGAGATAACATACCAGGGACATCACGATTAACCGTAATTACCATGCATCCCATAATGATACAATGTTTGGGTGACCAACCTCAGGGTGTACTGTACACACATACACACATCCACATCCATCCACATCCACCATTGAATCCAAACCAATGGTTCATGATCGAGAGAGGTTTGGGTTGGAATTCTGTATATGAATCAAGCAAGAATTTCACCACTATACAGCTCGTATTATTCGAATTGAGCAATTTCAATATATTGCAATTGGAGTCGACAAGGAAATTATACCATTAGGTTACCAATCAATTGTGAACCCTATGGACTACCGAGGCCGATTTGGTCGATATGGTCAAAACCCTAAAAATAGATTTCTGCCTGATGGAAAAAGTGTATTTAGTATTCAGGAGTATGAGAATAAGAATTAATATTATTTATTACTAAATTGCTTTTGTAATTTAATATTCTTTCTTCTTTTTAAACTTTATAAATACTAATATATTATTTCTTTATAGATATTCAACTTTCTTTAATTTTTTCTTATTCATTTTATACAATTTTATTGATATAATTATAATAATTTAATCTTAAATTTTATTAACTTAATATAAAGAATCAATTTATAAATAATATTTTTTTAAATCCACTATTAAGATTAAAATTAGAATTATTATTAAATACTTTGATATTTAAAGATTCAATTAAAATTTTAAAATTAACTATAATAATTTTATATTTAAAAACAAAATTATTATATATTTTATTTTATTATATAATAATTAGGGAAAAGCTTTTAAAATTAATAATTATAATATATTTATTATTCAAACTTTATAAAAAGTTTTTATTTAAAGAATAATATAAATAAGATTAATATTCATTTAAAATTCTAAAAGATAATATTAAATTAAAATATATTCAAGAATATAATAAAAGATTATTATATATTTATTTTTAAAGGAAAAAGAAGTTTATTTTATAATATAATTTTTTTTAATTAAAATTATAAAATATATTTATATTGATATTTTATATTTATTTTCAAAATATTTATAAATCTATAAAATAATTTCAATCGATTTATAAAAAAATATTAAATTTTTATATTAAATTTCAATTAATTAATGAATAAATTAGCTTTTATAAAATCGAAATTTATATATATACTAATATATATTCCTAATTTATTATATAAATATTTATAAGAATATTTAATAAATATTTAGAATTAATTATATATCAATATCTAATATAACACTTTAAAAATAATATAATATTTAGGATTTATAAAGTAAATAATAAAATAAAGTTCTTCTTATAATTAAAGCTTATTTTATATTTTTAATAAAACTAAAGATTATTTTTAATTTAGAAAAGTAATAGAAATTAATATATTAAAAATTAATAATAAAAGCTTTAAAATTTATTATTATATTAATGAAAAATATATTTTCTTATTCCTTATTTTATTTTATAAAAATAATTGAAAAATTCTCTTGATTCATTATATTTAATCTAATTTTTTATATTTATATTTATTTTTTATTATATAATTAATTACTAATATTATTTAAAATTATTTTAAAAATTAATAAAAAATTAATAATTTTATAAAAATAAATTAAAGAAAAAGTAAATAAATATATAAATCTTTAAAATCGTTATATAATTTAAAAGAATAAAACATAATCTTATTATTATATTAATAAGCTTTTTATATTAACTTATATTAATATTAAATCTTATATTAAATCTTATATTAAATCTTATATTCAAAATACTTTAAATAATTTATATATATAGAATAATATTTTAATCAATAAAATATTAATAAATATTATATAGAAAATACTATATAGGTTAAAAAAATATATATATTAATTTTTATTAACTTCTAATAATTCAAAGAATATAAATTTTAATAAATTCTATAAATATTTTGAATTTAATATATTAAAGTTTAGTAAAAAGAAAAAATAATTATTAATTATAATAAAGTTAAATATTATTTTTATATATTAATTATATAATTTAATATTATTAATTTTCTTTAAATTAAGTAAAAGATTTTTAATTAAAAAGTAAATAAATTGAATTATTTATTTATATTAAATATATTTATTTATTATAAGATTATATATATTAAGGTAATTATATAAGCTTTATATAATTATTAAAAAGTAAGATGTAATAGTAGTTTATTATTAAAATAAGTATTATAATTCAATAATATTATTATTACTATTATATTATTCGAAAAATTAAAGATATATTATATATAGTTTTTATAATAATATACGATGAGATTGCGCTCTATATGATACAAATATTTTTTTTCAAGTTTTCTATGGCCATATTATACAAATTTTAGAAATTTTTTTTGCTTCAGGCAGAAATCTATTTTTAGGGTTTTGGCCATATCGACCAAATCGGCCTCGGTATGGTCCGGGAAATATAAGAAGGAGAAAAAAGAAAATTAACCGCTGGCCAGTGCAAAAGTTTAATTTCCACAAGGATATGCACGACGATGCACGACGCTGCACGTACGGTTAGCAGGGTCTAAACGGGGAAAACAGATTTGGTAAGTTTTTACCGGAGATGTGATTGCAATTGAGTTTTCGGGTGAGCAAATATTGGGGAACTCTACTACGCACAAGATCAAAATACCATGTTTTTCTGCCTATGATTATGGTAAGGCTACTTGCTTAAACGCCTTGTGAGTAATCGAGCCAGTCCAGTCGAAGCAGTCAATCAGGCACACCGAGTATAATAAAGCGCCTCCTGCAGCTTGAGCTCGAGCTCGAGCTCGAGCTTGCACTGAGCTGAAGGATTGCTAGGTGGCTGGAAGTAAATACCCGATTCCTGGGGAAGGTAAATCAATGGCAGAAATGTCGATACCATACAAAAATACACGAACTAACCAATAAAAATAACTCGGGGTAAAGTGGTAAAGTCTGACCATCCAAACGATTATCTCTTCCTCGGTCTTATCCAAATGTAATGATTCTCGATCCATCAAGTTACCCATACCATACCATCCTTTCTTCATCGTCTACGAGGTGAATACACGATGTACTGCACTCCACTACAAATCCATCTTATGCGAACCCATACATGTTCTTGATGATGTCGCTTGCCTTCTCTGCAACAGCATACAATGTGCTAGTCAAATGTCCACTAAGCTGATGAGGCAGAATGGATGCATCGACAACTCGTACATTACTGGTACGATAGACCTTCAAATTCGAATCCACGACTCCGCCAGATGCTATCCCCTGCATAGAGCACGTACCAACAGGATGATTGTTTGAACTGACTATATTTTTATTTGCTTAGCAAGTGCAATCCTCAAAGCCTAGACGAAATGGCAGCCTAGAATCCTCATGGGGAAGAGCTTACATGTTGATTTGATCCAAGTTTCCCATTGCAAATCCGTAGCATTTTTGGGAACAACAGAATATCCTGGTGTCATCTCTGTAAATGCACTCACCAATGCTTTGGCTGCCCAAAATTTGCGTGTCCATTTTGCAATCGCCACTTGAACTTTCAGATCAAAGTCCACAAGAAAGAAATTCGGATTAATAGCCGGATATGCAGCAGGGTCGGCAGAAGAAATATGCACATTTCCTCTGGAAAATGGTAAGAGAGTCCAAAAGGCTGTGTAGAGATATGTACCGGGACCAGAACCGGTGTTGACTGTATTCCCGAAGATGACCTCGATATCAGGGACATTTTGGTTGATGACATCATTTTGTATGGTCAAGAGGTAATTCATGGCGCCAGGTGAAATGGAACCATTGATTGCTGCAGATATCGACGATGCCCAAGTACTGAGATTCGCAGCTGCAACACTCGGGAGGATGGAAGATAATGGAGCATATGTTACATATGGCACCGTTCCGTTGTACGTGGTATTGCTTTCATAGGCAAATGCGTTATTAGGCTGATCTTGAAGATTTTCGCCGACGCCAGGAAGAATTATCTTGGTCGGTATACCATATTTTTGCAGGATGCTAAACTTGTTAGTCCTGTCGCCTATTTGCCATAATTTTAAGAACCTACGTTGGATTCCCGATACCAGAAAGCTCCAAAATCGCTGGGGATCTTAAACTTCCAGCCGAAACAATAACCTCCTTGGTCGCA